CTGTATTTGTGATAATTAACTTGATAAGGACTCAAAATAAATGAATGGGATGCTGGCAAAAAAAAAAAAGTTTAAAAAGGGGAGAAAAGGAAGGGTAAAAGAAGAACTGAGAAATGCAAATTGAAACACTGAGATTACATCTCACTCCATAAAGAATTAGTACACATGCACCAATGCCCACAATGGATGTAACCATTACTGTTATGACTGTGTCTAGATGTGCCCCCAAAACCCCTTATGGTCAGCTGGGGCTTTTTCAGAGGTGGCTGAATCTAGTGTGTCACACTGAGATTGATTCATGGTGCAGTGCTAGGCTCAAGGGCCCTAGGGTTAAGGGTGTGAGTGCTACCTGCCCTGAGTAACCTGGATAAGATATAAGGGATAGAAAGAGCTGTGGTTGTTCTCTTGTTGCATTGTTGCCTTCTGCCTTCTGGCTGCCATGGACTGCTTCTCCTCTGCGATGCCCTCTGTCATGTGCCACTCTGCCTTGGAGCCAGCCAACTATGGACTGAAACCTCCACAAACTGTGAGCCAAATAAACTTTTCCTCCTTTAACTTTGGGTGTCAGTTATTTTGCCTCAGCAATGAGAAAATAAGTGAGATAACTATGTATTGCAACATGTGCTAATAAAAATAAAACATTAATAACTAAGATGAGGGTGTGTTTGAAACCATCTCCCAAAGGCATGTACTTGGCGTGTGTCAATCACTGTAACATGGTCATCAGTGCCCATAAATTCAGCTTCTGAGTTCCCTGGCTCTCAAAAGATTGGGTCCAGTCCTTTCTTAATCCAGCTGAGGTTCAGGGGAGTCTTGATTCTGAGATCATCAGGTTCTTCACCATTACAACTTTAGTCTTTGGGCTTCTTTTTATTCCGTGTTGTTCAGGAATATAAGAATTTGCTGAGGGAAGCCTCATTTCAGTGGGGTCATGCCTCCAGGGAAGAGATTAGAGTATTCACGTAACCTCATCATTCTCTTCCAGTTCAGTAACTTTAAAACTGCAGAAGCCGGCAAGTTGTTCTTGGCATGATTAAAATGGGCAGCTTCATGAATAATTCTGGCAAGGTGACACACTCCCCAGCAGTAATGATGAGAATCTCTGAGGAGCTGCAGAAGTTGTAGCCAAGGGGAAGGTACTGGACTTCAGCTTTAGGTCACATGCAGTGGTCACAAGTCAATGCTTTATTAATTACTTAAGCACAGGGTTATCTTCAAGAAATAAAAGATGGAATAACTTACCACCTTTTCAAAGGGCTTCTTGAAAATACCTGGAAAACTTGTCGTGAAGAGAAAGAGGACTTCAACTAAGTAAAACAACATTAAGTCCACACTGGAGATTTTCTAATTCCTTTCCTTGGAAGACAGGTTCTACAGAAAAAGGAGCTATAACAACTTGTTCATTTTCCAGGAAAACAGTCTGGAAATAGTGGTACTCAGGAAAATCACAGTTTTGCTATGAATTTTTATGTTTAGCTTTACAGATTCCATGTTAACAGGCCATCATTTCTTATTTTCTCCTCAAAAATGTAGTCCATGGCCTGAAGATCATATTAGAGTCATAAATTTTTATTGTCTTAAAAAAGAACATTATATGTAACTCATTATTAAAGCAGTAAATATATGATTTTAGCAATTATTTTTAAATTCAAAATTATTAGGTCCCTGTGGAGGAACTGGTTAAGGAAATGAACCCTGGGTAGACACCTGTTGAACAGGAAAGATGCTTAACCTGGAGACGAGCGCTGCGCTGAGCTCACTCAGCACTAACCCAGGTGCTGGTCCTGCTGTGCGGAGAACCTCACTGTTTTCCATGACTGTGTTAAAATTCACCTTTTCTTTCTTTTTTCTCTCTCTTTTTTTTTTTTTGTCTTGTTGAGACAGGGTCTCACTATGCAGTTCAGGCTGGCCTTGAGCTCACTTTGTAGCCCAAGCTGGCCTTGAACTCGCGACGATCCTCCTGTCTCAGCCTCCCGAGTGCTGGGATTACAGGCGTGCACTACCATGCCTGGCCAAAATTCACCCTTTCAAAGGAGCAGAAAAACACTTTCTTCTTCCATCCCACTATATGCATTTTGCAGTTTTACTTGTATATCCAGAAGTTAAAAACAAACAAACAAAACACCACATCATCCCTTAGTAACTGAGCTTTTTATAAACATCATACAATGTGCAGAATGCACATTCTGATTTTTTCTGTTCGTTTTGTTTTTGTTGAAAAATTTGTTCTTTCTGTAGAATTCTGTATCTTCCTTCATGATATTTTCTTTATGCCATTCAAACAAAAAACATCCCAGACGGCCCATCCTAAATACCTTCCTCTCCCTCATTGCTCATTAGCTCTCCTCTTTTATGATCTTCACTCAGGAATTTATTGCCTCTGTCCTGGGACACTGAAGTTGTCTTCTTAAATATTTTTAAAAATTTTCCAACTTGCCTTTATCCTTTGATTCTTACCATCAAATTTGTGTCGTGGGGTCTACAGTTAGATATTTCTAAAATGCAACTGATGATGTTAAGCCTCTGTCTAAAGTTTTCAGTAGCTTCTGTACTCCCTGAAGGACAAAGTCCAGACAGTTTCATGTTATGCAATGACTTTGATAGTATATCTGGCCTTTTTACCTAAGCTGGTATTTCTTCCACCAACTCTGTTCCAGCTAGATTTCCTAACAGATTACCTCATACCTACCCTCCCATTTTCACTGAAAGACTCCTATTTATGCTTTAACACTCAGCTCAAGTAGTTTCTCTTTTTTCCTGGACCAATTCACAGCTTCCTGTCTTTATCCTTCTGAGCAGAGCTAGTCGTTCTGTCCTTAGTGATACTGGTAAACTCAGAATCCACCGCTCTGTTAAAATTTTTCTTCCTTCTGAGATTGAGAGTAGATGCTAGGTCATCTCTGTTTTGTGTGTTTTCTGTGTATCACTGGCCTGGTATAGAGCCTCTTCTCCTGCTTTTAGATGTTGGTTGAATGAAAGGAAATCCAAGCTTATTCCAAACTATTCATTCTTTTAAAGATAACTTTTATTGCTCTCTTCTGCTTGTAACAAAACTAGTCCACAGTTGAAAAAAGTGTAGAAGAGCTTTAGATCCAAAGAGGGAGTTTTAAACTAATCTGTGTATGAATCAAATTCAGACATTTTGTGCCTTCCTCTAAGGCCCTGGTAGAATCTTTCTCCTGTCACTGGAGATTCCTAAGGAGGTATAGTTTGTGTTTCAGAATAAGCCTATTATTGCTATCATGGTTGACAGAGGTAGGGCTTCAATAACCAAGCCAGAACTCAGCTGTTTTCCTTCAAAGTTTCAGTGAGGATCCATTTCTAGTTGAAACTCTGTTTCTAAGCTACAGTTTCTATGATGTTTCATACCAGGAAGTTTGAGACTTGATTTCTCCTTCCCAGCCCTAGAGATGCTGGCATTTTGCTGTGCAGGTGAGAGTGCAGGTACTTGATTGCCCATATGGTATGGTATGATGTGTCAAGTGGTCTGACAGAGTCTCTTGTTGAATCTGGTTAACAGCTGTTAACAGCTCCTCGGTTCCTTTTCCTCTTATGATGATTTCTCAAAGGCACTGTTGTCTGCCGTTCCAATTATCCTGCTCTCAACTCCTTTCTTTATCATCTGAAATTGTGTCTCTATGAGTCTAAACTCCAAGAGTGCACAGCTCAAATTTATACCTGAGGACTCCTTTACCACCCCCATGTAATAATATTTATCCTTTGTTGGACAAAAAAATAAACTGGACTCTACTTCATGTGTGTGCTAATTGTTTTTGCTAATTTATACCATCAGTTATTGCTCTTTTTTCTAATACTCATAAATGGTCTACCTCTATAAAAGATAAGGCATGTGATTACTTCTGCTATGGAAAATCACCAAAGTGCAGAGTTGGGTTAGCAAGTTCTGACAGTTTGTTCTTTTAGGAACTGGTTAATGGTATGCTCTTGCCATGTGTTTAATTGAACCTTATATAATGCAGGTGGAGATTATTAAATTTACCTTTTATTCTTGGCTGAGTTTGTTTTGCCTGGATGTATATCTATTCATACTCTGTTGACTTACTTGTGTAGACAAGGTCTGTGTTTGTGAAATATGAGTCCCAATGAATAAACCCTGGTTACATCAGAGTGAAAATTCTCTAACAAAAATCATACTGTATATCGTAGTCACTTTCCTCATTGCTGAGACAAAATACCTCACACCCACAGCTCAAAGCAGGAGAGGTTTATTTTGGTTCAGTTTTTAGAAGTTTCAGTCCAGAGTCAGCTGGATCCAAGGTAGGAAGGATATGGTGGAAGGGTCTGGTGGAGGAAAGGTGCTCACATCATGGGAGCTAGGAAGCAGAGAAGGAAGAGGCTAGGAAGTGAGATAGACCCTTTCTTGCCCCAAGTGATTCACATCTTCTGACCAGACCCTAGCTTCTCACAGCATGTTTAACTACAGATTCATTAGTGGATTCACCCCAAGGGGTATAACACTCCTATGATTTAATCATCTTCTAAAAGCTCCATATGAGGATTTTGGGGACATTTCAGCTCCAAAGCATTACACTACATCTCATAAATATATAGTTATTATGTGTTAATCAAATTTTTAAAAATATTTGATATAGAATTGATGATTATACATTGGTTTGATCATTATTCACTGTATTCATATATTACCACACTGTATCCTATAAATATGTACAATTAAAATACTACTAATTTATCAATACAATAAAATTTTAAGAAGAATAGAAAACCATTAACAAGAACACAATATATTTGTGTTGTAGATTTAGATATTTTCTTCATGGCTGTGATGTCTGTGTAGTGGACTGGTACTTCAAGGACTTTTATTATTTATAATGCCATCCAGTCTAACAAATCAGATGCTTTGTTTAGGTTTACCAAAAATAGAAAATGTGCTAAACATTAGTAATGCCTTCTGGCTTTGAATCAAATCTTCAAGGAAATACACACATTTCAAACTCACTACCCATAAAGGAAGAGACACATTAAGATTCTCAAATAGTCATTTTATTAACAAATACAAATTTGAAATGGTAGTAGTAAAATATATCAATATTGAACAAAGATGTGCATAAACAGTATGGTAATTCTATAACTGGGAGGACATCTCAATTTTGTTAGTTTTGGTGACATCTTCCCAACCACGTCTAATCCTCAGTATCTTCTTCCTCAAGCATGGCAGGAGCAGTATGGTTTTCCATATCAGGACAATGATTGGAAGGAAAACAGCTATCATAAAAGTTGGAGGTGTATACCACACAAATTCATTTGTATCTATCCATTTATCCCAGGCAAAAATCATTGCATGCATTGTGCCCAGCAGCAGGGAAACAATTCCAAGTTTGCTCTGCAAAAGAAAAGCAATGTTACCTTAGTTAGGATTGGTTCAATATCCTACCTCATCTGGATCTGTTCTGTTGCTTGGAAATCTTTTCCTTCATCTAGGATTCTTTCCCTAACACAATTCTCAACAATGTCCAGTCATATCTTTCCCCTCTTACCATTTTGCTTTTGGGTGGTGCTCTTGTCTCCAAGCTAAGTTGAGAAATTTCACAACCTTCCTTTTAGTCTCAGGTGATCAACGGTCCTATTTTTCTCTTCTCTGCCGTTGTGTTCATTTCTTTTACGACATTTATTTTGGGGTGCTTTGCCTCAAGTGTATGTGCCTTAATTCTGTCTATCAACAGATGTCTAAAATCAGGGACTGTATCTTACTTATCACACAATTTCTGCAAAATTAGCACAGTGATTTGCTGCATGTATTAGGTGTTCAATAAGAATTGTTAGATTGATCCAAGGTCACTGCAAATGTCAGTTTGACCAGTGATCTTCATCAATTGTGACAGCAAGGAATGCGATCCCTGCTGATTTTGGTAAATGAGTAGTGAAGTGAGTGAGCTTGGACTGTATTTTTAAAAAGTCAGACATTCTGCTAAAATGGAAAAATACTGGAAATGGTTTCAGTTTTGAACAAAATAGAGATCTAGGGAGGTGAAGAAAAATTTCAACTTGCATTGCAACTCTTTGGCATCACAGAGAAAAGTTGCTTATGAATAGTTGTTCACCTATGTAATTTTATGGCATTTTGACAAAAGCTTTTCTAGATAACTTTTGGCTTCTATTCATTTTACTTGAAATAATCACTGGCCTGCTAGAATCAATCTAACTCACAATTATTCCTCTGTACTCTTAAGCCCCAATGAATACTGTACTATTAAATAGCTAACTTTTATTTTCAGATATGAAATAGAAAGGTAAACTGTCATGCAACCATCTGTTTAATTCTAAGTGAAAAATTTCTAGGTTAGTGACTGAAAAAAATATATGATTGCATGAAGATTAATTTCAGCACATGTGTATTACATACTTACTCTGAGCTAGCTATTGTACATATGGTGGGATGGACTCAGCCATCAAGATACAATGCTTGAATCCCTAATTAAATAACAAAAGTGATGTTCAACATATGTGTGACAGGAACAGCAATGTGAGGTGAAGTGGTTTCACGAAGAACACATAACACCAGTGGCTATCAAGTCAAACAAAAAAATTATAAAATACTTTGCTTGGAGAACGTAGTAGCATCTTTAAACTACACTTGAAAAATTCACATGGAGAGACAGTTTCTAGCCTAAGCAATTCCATGGGGAAGTGTCTGTTGGAAACATGTATGAACATGTACAAAGGATAGTGGAGAATTCTGACACTGGAAATTTTCAAAGATGTCCACCCATAAAAGTGAAGTCTATGTAATTTAAAAAATTTTGGCAGTGGTATGATGAAATTAAATTTAGTCTTTTGAATGTTGCCAGACCTGGGTACCCTTCAGAATTCTAGTAAACTATACTTTTTACGTGCAATCTTCCACTAGGAGATGAATTCCAGTAAATTTGAGATAGTTTTGAATTCCAGGAATATTTAGAATCTTCAAATGAGTAAGCTATCTAAAATGTAACCTGGAAAAAGCAGCTTTCAAAATTAGATATTAGAATACCTTTGTGATTTATAGTCTGTAGACTATAGTCTGTAGACTATATTTATAGTCTGTAGACTATAAATCTATACAGACTATAAAATATCTCCTTATTTCAAGGAGAGACTTTTTTCTAGATCTACAAAGCTGTATAACTTAAATGGGATGACTAAACCTATGGATAGGTATAAGAATATTTTTATTTTGGGCGAACTAGTAAAAGATATTCCTAAAATATCACATTTATAGTTATTACATGGGCAATGGATTGTCTAACAAATTTCAGTGTTAGAATATTTTTCTTTTAGTAGTGTCTTTTATTTTATGTCTGCAGAATGCATCCTATTTAAAAACAATAGGGAAAAGGAGAGAAAATATTAATCAGAACAAGTGTGGAATCCTTACTATTGGAAACATTCGTTATTTTTTATAGGATAAAGTCAATGTACTTTATATTGGAAGCACAAAAAAATATACCTCTCTGAGAGACTAAAGTTATATGCATGTACACTTACCTGAATATAGTGAAACTCCCTCCATGTCAAAGAGTCACTGATAGATGGAATTGATGTCACAGCCAACAGAGCCAGTATTGCAAGTCCCACAATTCCCAGAGACACATAAATCTCCATTCTCCAAACATCATGCTCAATCCAAGCATCTTCTTTATTTTGCTGGACCTACCAGAAGATCAGAGAGGAAAGAACAAATGCAAACCACACGTGAATCGTCTTCTCTGGTCCCTTACTCTACTATGGAGGTCTTAGTAATGAAAGAGACCTGCACAAATTTATAACTTTTTCTTTTTTTGCATTCCTCTAAGAGAAATGACAGAGGAACTATCACTCTTTTCCATGCACAAAAAATTTATATATATATATATATATATATATATATATATATATAATGTCTTAATGATTACTTATGTAATAATTTTCTGATGGTTTACTTGGACAGAATTGTAAAGTGCGTGGACCAAGTGGTAAAGAAGAAGAAGATTAGAAGGTTACCATTAAAAGGGTGGTAAAAGACGGAAATGGGGCCCTGTCCATGAACAAATTATATCTTTATGCCTTTAAAGTTGTACTCTATTTTCACCTTGGAATATATTCCTCAGTGTGAAGCTGTACAGTGAAGCCTCAGTGAAGCTTAATAAATTTTTTAAAAAGTGAAGATTATTTTTCAATAGGGGTTTGGAGTATTGACATTACAATGAGAAAGGACTGATTTGTTAAGTGACTTAGGCTTTTCAGTTCAATAGTATCAGCAACATCTCCATCTTACCTGTTGGTATGCCCAGTTGAGCAACCTGTATCTGTAGGATCGTCTCATTGGGTAAGACAGACTATAAATCGCATGCAGCACAGCAAAAAAGAAACTGAGAAGCCCAAATTGCTTTCTTGTTAACATCCACTTATCTAACCAAGGTGGAAATTTCTTATATTTGGTTCCATTATGAAGTTGTACAACCGCTGCTATCACACCTGGCAAATAAACCAGTGCCAAGAGGGTGATGGAAACCATTGGCAAGACTTTGTTGATGACCAGGATTGGAATTTTATAAAAATACTGTTGATGGGAAGTTACTAAAGGGTGAATTACTTTCCTCAAGAGAGTGTACAGAAAAGTCAGCGAAGACACAACAGCAGCTATTTTAATTGGCAAGCGCCACTGCACGAAGAGTTCCTGGCTGTGCTGAAGTTCCAAGGGACAATCAAATTCGTTAACATGGGCGGTCTGTGGCAAATGCAAAAGCACAGGTCTGTTCAGCATGCTGGTCTCTCCCACGTCCTTAGTCTGCAAAGGAAAGGAAAGAAAAGAAAGATCTGAAAACCAAACGAAACAATGGGATTTCCCTTAATCCAATTTCTCATTGCTCAATCATTATGCTTTCCAGTGAACAAATTCTGAGTCTTACTTTGGGATACTGGTTAGCTGAAGATAGCGAACAGTTTGTGTAGCACTGATCAAAGGTACACTTAGCTATTTTGGGCTTCTCCATTAATTTCTGTTATTTATTTGTCTTTAAGACAAAAGAAATAAATTCTGCAGATATCTCCGTCAGAGTTTAGGCCATGTTGTCTATTTTGAAGATGCAAAATAACGAAATAAGGAACTGGGAAGCCAGAACTTAAACAGTCTTACTCATTTTTGGTAAAAATAACAAATTGGTAAACTATGATAGTTGCGTTTGCTTCATCATATTTTTATTGGTTCATGGACAACTCTCTATAAAGCACTGAAGAGTGAATTCTTCACTAGTTCAAATACAAAGGGTCAGGAATAATATTATCATTAATATTTGATAAAATATGTAATTTCCATCATGTAGTCTTCCATTTTAATTTTATAGTTCTAAACTAACTCATTTGTCTAAGTACTAGTAGACAAATATCTACCAGAAGGTATAAAAGGTTATACAACTAAATTCCACAGAGATAACCTATTTCCTGAGAAAATTATACTTCTTTGACCAGTTCCATTTCTAGGTGGTCAACAATTTAAAAGAAGTTTGCGTTGAATAATCTATCGTTTTCCCAAGTAACTTATACATGGAAAATACAAAAGGATTGCAATTTACTTCTCAGCATGTTATTCCTTAACTTTGTAACTATATGTGAAGCCAGAACATTTTTATGCTTGAAATGACAGCAGTGATTATCATGTTCACCTTATCCTATGCTTAGCAATATTAATTCACACAGTTCTCTATAATCTTCAGTGTTAAAAATGACTTCTGTCTGCATTTGAATTTTACCTGGGGTAATACATCACTGTTATAGCCAATGCTTTTCCTAATTACTTCATCTAGAAAGGATACAGCTTCTATCATTTCTCCACATTAAGACAGTGTAAGTATAATCAACTGAGATGAATTTTCTGGTTAAGAGCAAAGAATTATGGAACTGCAAGTAGAAGAGTTAAATTGAAAACTGAAAATGATTTTGTTTTATGCACACAATTTCTTTGGGTAGGTATGTGCTTGTAATTTGTTAATTATTATTCTTTTAAAAATCATTAAAATAATTTTTATTAAGTCTGTCTTTAAAGTAACTTAGAAAGGTAAGAGCTTGGAACCAAATATTTGAGCTACTTTTTCAGTCAAATAATGTGGTAAGAAACATTTAACCTCATGGTTGACCAAAAGTGGGACAAGTGATTCTTATCCAAAAATGAATTTAATTGGTTAACCAATGAATCATACATTTACTTGGTGATCTTTTACTAAGCTGCCACAGTGCCTGCTTATAAAACTACTGTTATATGGACACTGATGACTTTTTTTCTTTTTAAACTTATAATCACAGACCGTTAGGAAGAATCTGAAGGGCCTTGAAGATCATCTGGTTCAATTGTTCCATTTTGTAAAAAAACAACAACGAAAACCCAGGCTAAGTCTTTGACAGACAAAGCACTATTTCTGTTATATACACCGCCTTGTCTTTTAGTATGGCACCAGTGATAGGAATTTGAATACACGAATCAGCACACAGGGTGAAAATTGCTCTTACACTAGGAGATACAGAATGAGATTTGCATTACGTTTATAGATTCTAATTATTAAGAACGTTTTATTGTACCAAATAGTCATCATCTTCTAGGCTGTTAGGCTTCATCTGCCAAAGTTTTTCTTGGTTTGGGATATCTTTTCTGTTCTCCATTAATTCTATGAAATAGTACTGTGTCAGCCACCTACAAAAATAACAATAATCACTTCTTCACATATATTCTATTTATAATGATAGTACAGTATTTCATGGCACAATATGATTTATTCACTTAAAGACTAGAGTGAGAGATGAAATGCAATTAAATTCAGATAGTGGCTAGTTTACACATTTGATGCATCTCAAACCAGCATAACTCATGTCAGTAGTAAATGTTTTTCTTTGTTCAACTGTGTACTATTTGTAAGAAATACAAAGAGTCAGACTTACCTTTTGCTTCAGAAAGATTTAACTCCAGATTCTAGTTTAGAGGCAAAGAGAGTTAGAAATGCATCTTCTGAGAGGAACAATTGTATCAAGGGAGGTTAGAAGCAGCTGATATGAAATTACTCTGCAGGAAGTTGTATGTTTAATAGACTCTGGAAGTTGACTGTAGTCTGCAACAATCATTAATTTATTTTACGGGGAAGTGTTTCTGCTTCAGAGGATGATCAGAACAGACATTGCCAGTAGGGTGAACCCTGACAGTGGCACAAAAGTCTAACGTGTTGCAAAAATTTTCATTCTAAGCATTTTGGGTACGGAATACACATTTTCTTATTTGTTTTGGTTTGTTAACACTGTTTCCCCACTTTCTTTCTGACTTTACTTCCATAAAGTAAGGACCTTCTTCCATACAGTACAGTTCCAGGAAATTGCCAATTACGGCAAACTCTAGCCAGCTAGAGTTTCCTATTTCCAAGATCACCATGATTGGCTTAGGGATGACACACAGCCCTAGCTGATCAGTGACAGTTTTTCTTTCATACTTATGTCTAGAAGTGGAATAGAAAGAACACACCTTGAACCTGTTAGTTGGAATAGCATGAAGAGTATTATGGTTTTTCAAAGCCATAACACAGAAGCCAAAGAAACGGAGAAAGACAGAGGAACACTGGCCACATACTTTGAGAATTTAGAAGCCCTGTTACTAGATCCTGAATTTCTCAATTATAGTCAGTACATCTCTTTTTTGTGAATTAATTTGAATTGAGTTTTGGAAGGATTCTGGGCAGAGCACATGCCAATCATCAAGGACTTGTGGATCCAATTCTATACAGATATTAAAAAAAGAACTGAGTCTTCAGGTCTGCTCTGGAAGAAAGCTTACATTCTACCCTCATGATGCATGATGATGTGTCATCTGCTAATTTCGCTAACGTTATAAACAGAATAGTTTGGGAAGGTAGGGGATAGAACATCATCTCCTGTAATCAAACACTAGGAAATAATTCATTATACTTAGAGGATGTTTCATGTCTGTGAGTTTCAGTATGGCAAAGAAATTAATATATAACTCCAAATTTATCCATTGTTAATTCATTAACTATACTGTGAACAATGATGTCAAACGGTGGGAATACAAAGTTGAAAGAGATAAAGCTTCTGCTCTCCAAAGTCTAGAAGGCAAACATTTCAGCAAGTGGCTGCGTGGTGAGGTGATGTATCTGAAAAGAAGATGGAATTTTATAGACACACGGGAAAGGAAGCAGAGAAACAGGGTGAGCGCTCTCTTTCGTACTAGCCCTGGGGCATCTACAGGTTGGTGGTGTTTGCAGACTGTAGGCCACAGAGTGGCTCTTGGGGAGGTTTTCCCACCCCAGCTGGTGAGGAACAACGGCTACAGTCTGTGGGACCCAGACGGCCCTGGAAAGCAAGATCAGGCGTCCGCCTGCGGCAATGAGGGAGACTATTGTCCATGTGGCCACAATCAACTTTGTGCACAGAAACTACGAAAATAAAAAAGGAAGCACATAAAATATTTTGGTTTCCATCAGACAGTAACCAAAATATCTAACAAGTCGTGTGGTAAATCTTTTTTTCTTAAAACAAACAAACCCACCAACCAAACAACCTGACAGGAAACTGCACTGTTGTTAGGAACTCCGGAATTCGAGCCAGCGTCCTCTAACTCCCTTCCCCATTCACAAGCTAGAATATTTCTGATGTGACTGTTATGTTTTGCTGCACCAGGACAGCAGGCCTGGTGTTCCTGCTAAATATTGACACAGCCCAACTGACTCATGTTTATGGCCAGGGTTTAGCATAGGAAGAAACCCAGAGACTGGGCTACACTGTGGGTCGCGCTGCCTCCCCAGCCCTCTAGACCTGCAAGCGCACGCTCGCCTTCCGCTTTCCACAGTTCACGCCGTGAAGCGGGACAGTTTTCTTCACCGTGCTGTGCTTTAAACAGCATCGCTTCCCCTCTGTGCCCCAGCATTCATGCTACATGAATGACCTTTTTATATGAAACGTCAGGATGTGGAAGGAAACTTTCCTCACTTACAAAGAACACCAAGTAAGACATTTGGAAGCGCTCATAAATCCCACGTCTACAAATCTCTTCCGGTGGATGTAAGCCTTGACTGCTTTGCGGGGAACTGGAACCCTGCTCAGATCCCGGAAGAGCAGGGCCTGTGTTCCAAGGACAGAAAGAGAAAATTTCCTTCTAGCAGGAAATCTGAAGACCGACTCGCGTGATTCTAAGTAATAGGCGCTCATCCTTCATCAATACGACGCAAACCCGAGCTGCCCCGGGCCGAGCTGGGAAACCTAAGGGGAGCCTCACCCGGACCAGCGCGCACGTCCATCACCTGCCCGGCTCGGCCGTCCTCC